ACAAAACAAACAGTGCTATCATTTAAGATCGACATTTGATTAAAGATGTGGAAATTTGTTACCATTTCCTGCATAATAATCAGAAGAAAACTTTCACAAATAACAGATTGTTCCCAAGTATTTCTCTCTTCAACCACAAGATGTCAAATTGACTTTGAGATTTTGATGTTGGAGACTTAGTCAGATTCCATGGGTGCTTGCCACAAAACAAACTACAATAGTTGTGCATATGTTATGCTCTCTTACAGAGCAATTGCTCCTTTAGAATGTATTAAAACCCTTATACAATCTCTTCTTATTTTTATTAAATACTCGCTCCATATTCTATGACTAGCGATAGATCTAATTATTACAATAAATTGATCCTCAAATATTCGATATGCCAATTCAGTATTAGCATAACTGATTCTCAGATAATTTCAGTTTTCCAAATTTCTATGTTAACAATATATGTATTCGATCTGTATATGTCTCAGCATTTGAGTTTTAAATTCTAATATGTCATTTTCTTTTCTTTATTTTGCTGTCAAGAAAGCTAATAGCAATTCTAGAGTACATCCTTCCTCCCTAAATAGCTGGTGCATCACTTTCTTCTTTTTTGAAGGTTAATTAAACTTAATTAATGAGTATAATCTTTACAAAACTTGTGGTGTCTGACATAATGATACTGTTCATTTCAAAACCAAGAAAATAAAAGGTGTATGCTATCAAAAGTTGTTTTCAACCATAAAGGTAGAATTTCTGGTCGCTCCTTCCTGAGCAAGGGAGTCCTCTAATGATTTGACACCCACCATACATGAGAGGAGGATATAGAAACTTCCAGTGGAGCATTAAATATTTAGGAAAAAAAATATTATTGAGATGCCATGGGCAACTGTCAAACCGAAGATTTATAACACTGGAATCCCTGAGATGTAACAGTCTATCTTTAACAAAACAAAATTTTTCTACTTCACCATTTATTCCACGAAAACAGATTTTTTCCATTTCTAAGAGTCTCTACAAAGTCTACTCATAACTAGTATTAACATGAAGGTTTAGATATACATCTGTTGATAGGACAAAATTTACAATAGTGAATTTGAACAAAAGTCACAAAGAGAAAATTTCATCATAACTATGACTTCTTCCAAAGTTGGTCATGTTGTGCCTTCAACCAGGGAGGCTGCAATTACCTTGAAATTTTTTTACCATAGTCCCTAAGGACCAAATTATTTGTATGGACCATCAAAGGTAAAAGGTTGTTACATTCTCCCCCCTTAAAGAAATTTAGTCCTCTAAATTTGTGTACCTGATTGCTGAAAAAGATAGGGGTATTTTTCTCTGATTTTGTCCTCTCGTTCCCAAGTTGACTCCTCTCTCGAATGATGCTGCCACAATACGCGGACCAAAGGAATCTCTTTGTTGCACAATACTTGCACCCTCCTATCCAGTATCAAGCTTGGCTGCTCAATAAAGGTCAGGTCCTCCCTGATCGATAAAGGTTCATATTTCAGGGCATGGGATGAGCCGGGCTGATATTTTCGTAATGAAGATACATGGAAGACATTTGATCCTTAGGGACCATCATTTTGTT